AAATAATTACTTTAAACGAGACAAAATGTACCACGGAATATTGTCCTCCAGTCAAACACATACCTTTATGTTTTGAGTCGTTCCTCGCAGATGCAGGAGGGTCTAAGGACAGAGATGATCCAGGACACGTATGCACATTTTAGATAAGATAAGATAAGATAGACTTTATTGATCTCACAATGGAGAAATGTGCATGTCAGGTAGAATCACTTAGGTTGTGCAAAAGACAGGAAAATCTGCATACATACTAAAAACACATGTTAAAAGGTTAAAATATAATCTCTTTTCTGCAAGATATATTATGTAAAAGCGACTATAGCAGTGGTCATCCTGCTCTATGGATCAACACCTCTATGTGTTTATTATCACTTTATCTGGGTTTAAACTGAATTCCCCATTTTCATCTCAAATATCGGTGGTTTAGAGCTCTCTGTGATCCTTTTTATTCTGATACTGCGTTTGTGAATCCAGATATGAGCCACAATTGACCAATCAGATAGCTTCGTTCGCCAGGGAAACTGCAGCTTGCCTTCGTAACCATGTTAGCAACACGTCCGCCACTGTCACTGCGCAAAGCTAACGCAGTCGGGATACATGCCCATATAAGGACATTTCCTCCAGCTCGCTTTTGTTCAAATCAGCTTATTTCGCTTTAAGGCTGTGAGTGGCATCATCAAATAGACCAGTGACTTCCAGCATTTAAAAATATCAGTTTTTTTTTTTCAAATACTACTTATACAACTACATGTGGCAAGCTCAAATTCCTTCTCTGTTGACCAAACCAGTGCCCGCTATTTCCCCAGTGTGTACTCAAGGCCTCAGTCCTCTCCTTATCACTGTGACCTATAAGACGTCTTGTAAAATCTCTTGTCCAAATACCCAAAGTGCTCACACAACAGGTGCACGCCAGTCCTACTCCTAGAGCTAATACTTTGTGAAGGCTAACGTATTTGACTGGGAGAGCTCATTAATAACGGGCGTGAAAAATCCTAAGTAAACGCATAATGGCTTCCAGTTCGAGTTGGATTTCATGTCGTTTCCATCCGTAGTCAAGCACAGAAACGCAGAGACATTTCCTGACATTTCTTTTAGCTGCACACATTGCTCGCAGATGTTTATTCGGGTTTTCAAAGACAGGAACGCGGTGCAATAAAACGGACAGAAGTTGTTAATTGACTAGAGAGGAGACTTTGGGAGGATAGGGTTTCTGCCATTGTATCCGCCACACAGACGCTCCGACATTCTGCATATACAAAATCAGAAAGAATAACTCTGTCTGTTTTACATTTACACACAGTCTATGAAATGTAGTGGAGACGGTGGTTAAGTATTGTTGCTGCAAAGTCAAAATATAGCCTTCAATTTGAGTAAGTAAGTAGTCTTTATTTATATACCGCCTTTTCACTGCACATCAAAGTCTCAAAGCGGGTTACAATTGGTATTTTTTGGGCAGGGGCGCCAGTACAGGAGACGCATGCCAGATCAATTGGGCATGTTTTTAGTGGTAGGGGAAACCGGAGTACCCAGAGGAAACTTACGCAGACCAGGGCCTTTCTGAGGGCCTCCACTCAGAAAGGCCCTGGTCCAACCGGGATTTGAACCCAGAACCTTCTTGCTGAGAGGCAAGAGTGCTATCCACTCAGCCACGGTGCCGCCCTGAGTAAGAAAGATCTTACGCAGCTTAGAACCGGGAGGGATTTTTTTGTACAGAGCATTGATCATCCCCCAAAATAATGTTGGTATAAAAATATATTAACAAATGTATTTTGAATAGAAAAAACTACTGACTTTATATTAATAAACATATATGTGTCTATTTCATTTAGAATGCATCAACTTTAGAGTAACTACAGATTATTAAAAACCAATACTGATTTGAAAGAATTTGGGATTTCTGACGATCACTAATTCACCAGCAGTTTTTTGTCTTTTTTGTCTGATCAGGGTTGTGTCTACAGCGCTCCAGGAAAAATGGTTTTGTAGATTTTCTGGTGCGGGAGTCCGTCAGCAGAGATAACATATCAAACAGTCAGGGGTGTCCAAACCGGTCCAGAAAGGGCCGCTGTGGCTGCAGGTTTTCTATCAGACCCAACAGGAGCAGATAGACTTCACCCATTTCCTCAAGAGAGTTCAGTCTTAACCTGAAGATTTGAGGAAATGGGTGGAGTCTACTCTGCTCCTGCTGGGTCTGATAGAAAACCTGCAGCCACAGCGGCCCTTTCTGGACTGGTTTGGACACCCTGGTATACCTCTTTGATGGACAGGAAAGACGCCATGCTGACCACTCGTACAGCCGCTGGGTCACTGCAAGGTCTAATATTTACAAATATCAACATTTATCACATATAAAGTTGTAGGACGCAAACAATGAAGGTAATACAATATCTATTCCTAAGATATAGTCACTAACAGCTGTACTACAAATCATAACATTTAGATTCAGCACACTTTCTCTTCTATTACTTTTCCCTTCAAAAATGTTCCATCCATATTCTTCCCCTTTATCCGTTGCCGAGTCACGTGGGAGCACCAGTCAAAGCAGAGATGGCCAGACATCTTAACAAAAAAAATGAAATTTGTAAAACTTGTTTTTGTTGTTCAAATTTCAAATGTCCTTTAAGCCATTATTTGTTTTCAAGTTGAATGTCTTAGTTTGAAATGATACGTTTACATAACATACAATATGAGATAGATAGATAGATGGATAGATAGATAGATAGACTTAGATAGATTTACTGATGCTCTAAAGGAGAAATGCAGGGAGGAATCAATAAATATCAATACATATCTATCTTTCTAACCCTTTGCACGTTCAAGAACCTTTCAGATTTGAATCTCACTACAATCCCAAATGCTAGACTAGGACTACACATACCCATGGCCCATATTATGATATTGCGCAGGGCTGCAGTGCGCGCCCCTGTGCCACATGTTGCAAATCGACTCACGCGTGCGCTGGGCGTGTAGTGAGAGGAGAGAAACACATTCTGTTTAGCTTTGGGCGAGATTTTAAGGAAGCCCTCAATCAGTAACAGTGTAAACACGCCATTCTCGCGGAGGTGAGCTCCAGACGCGGCTGGTGCGACGCGCGGTTACGTGAGTGTACAGCGGCAAAGAGGAAAGAACCAAAAGTCTAAACACTAAAGTCTGCTATCATAAGGAGACAATGCGCTCAGGCTTTAGCGGGACTTTTACTGCCAGATGATACGTTTCTCCTGGACATAATGGAAGCAGAGTGAAGCCATCCCGGGCCCTTCACAAATATACAATCATTAGTGGCTGGCGTTTCACACGGAGTTTACTGGAAATGAGGCTGATTTCAACACATCAACACCTGCAAGTGTGTGCGTGCTGATTCTGAATATGTAATAAGTTATAATCATTAAAAAAAGACTATTTCACACATGTTACAACGTTTCAGCTCTGGTAGAACGTGCGCACAGGTTATGGCTGCCCCCGTCTGGTCAATGTGTGTAACTGCATGATTCAATAGTATGTTCAAGATGAGCTACCACAGCTTTTTAATTGGAGAGCTACTTTTATATAAAAAAAAGAGGCAGAGAGCTACTCCTTTTTGCGTAATAAAAATCGAACTGTTTCCTCACTCTCAAGACAGTTTGGTTGTAAGTTTGTATCTTTGTCACATTTTTAAATCTGCTTTTTCAGACAGAAAAGTGATTAAGAGATGACCATCCTCAGGGCTCTTTCTCACAAGAATGCAAAATATGTTTTCTTGAATGTTTAAGACACTGAAAAATACATTCCTAGCTTTAAAGGTGATGTCTGCAGCTTCACTTCTACTTTTATGTTGAAACAAACTTGAAAAAAACGTATGATCCTGTACTTATGATCCTGTAGTATCCTCTGCATGAAATATTTTCCATAATCAATATGTTTAAAACAGTCCCTCCCTTTGGAATACGCATTTTGACAGGGGGCCTCAGCTCTGGGGGCGATAATTTGATTGCATTATTTTGTTTACGGTTAGTAGCAGATTAGTAACTGACATTATATTGTTTTTTATGATGAGTAATGAGATTAATGGAAACTGAAATGAGCCTGTGGCAAAACAAAAGATGTAATAATCTATTTTACTCTTTCATGTGGAAAGAGGATAATACAGGATAACTTCAGCCAAAACTATTGTTTTCAATCCACTCCCATGGACAGCAGGCTGCAGATCCAGGACTCAGGCTGTAAGTCCAGGACTCAGGCTGTAGGTCCAGGACTCAGGCTGTAGGTCCAGGACTCAGCTGTAGGTTCAGGACTCAGGGTGTAGGTCCAGGACTCAGGCTGTAAGTCCAGGACTCAGGCTGTAGGTCCAGGACTCAGGCTGTAAGTCCAGGACTCAGGCTCTAGGTCCAGGACTCAGGCTGTAGGTCCAGGACTCAGGCTGTAGGTCCAGGACTCAGGCTGTAAGTCCAGGACTCAGGCTGTAGGTCCAGGACTCAGGCTGTAGGTCCAGGACTCAGGCTGTAGGTCCAAGACTCATGCTGTAAGTCCAGGACTCAGGCTGTAGGTGCAGGACTCAAGCTGCAGATCTAGGACTCAAGCCTAAAAACCTTCCTTTTTAAGTAGGCCTATTAGGGATTTTATGTACTTCCAATATTCTTTGCTTTGTTATTTTGTTTGTTGTACTGTATTTTAATCTGTAGCACATTTTCTGGAAGTGTAAGGTGCAATATGAATATATTTATGCATTACTACACTGTAGATCCAAGACTCAAGCTATAGTCCACAGTTTGACATACTGTAAGACCTCTATCTCAAATATGATGTATAACATGTTAAAAGAAATGGCTTTGAAAAGCAAAATGGAACCAACTGTAAGAGTCTTGAAAGAACTGGAAAAGCATCCCTGGACTTTTATCCGTATAGGAACCAAACACATGAGCCACACATAATATAGATAATACTTTATGTACAGGCAACAATCACAAATCTAACTATTTTCTGTTGGAATAATACTGTTTGCCAAAATATGTTTTTGGAACACCAGTTCATGGTGATATCTTCCGTCTGACATGAAATCCTCGGGTCCCGCTCGGTCCTCTGGGCTGGCGGATCACTCTCACCATGTTTTTATTGCCACAGGCCTTCCTCCTCTTTCTCAGCCACGGCCCGTACACAGAGTCTCCGGTCGCTCCACAAAACTCCTTTCTCCCTGCAGCCTCCGCCGGCGCCTGTTGCCTTTCCACCTCCTGGTTTTTCACCTCCTGCTTTTCCACCGCCTGCATTTCCACCTTCTGCATCTTTTCCTTTGCCTCTGGAAAGTTCACAGTTGAATCTTTGTCATATTCCTTGTTTTCCAGCGCTGTGTTTGTAAGATAGACAGATTTAAACCCTAAAGCCACCACATTCAGGCCCTCTCCGGTGCGCACCATCTGGTCCCCGCTCAGGTCGTCGTAGGCTTTCCTCACCGCCGACAAAGTGCTGTACTTCACCACGGCGCACAGACTCTGGCCCAGCTCCTTGTGGCGTTTGGCGTAACACTTGAGCTCCTCAGGCAGCTCTTGACCCGGAGACAGGAGCCAGAGTGCCGTGATGTTGCCGTAGGAGCCGAGTCTGTGCAGGATGTGCTGGGGTAAGGTGTGACCGGGGCGCGGAGTCTGGGGGGTCCTGGGCAGAGGGCTGGTCCAGTCCGAGGGCAGGTCCCACAGCATGAGCCGGCGGCTGGTGGGAGCGCGGAGCAGCCAGCCGGGGTAGGCATTCAGGCTCCGCACTTTGGACATGTCCTGGCTGACCTCCAGCTGAGAGGAGCAGATTGCCGCCGCTAGTGTCATGTACCAGTTGTTCGTCAAGGCCCTTATCTGCAAGAAAAGAGCATCAGCTTTAAGCCCAGTTTAGACGGAGGCGCTGCGCAGACGTTGCCAAGCTATTTACAGAAAAGACCAGGCTCCTGATACAAATTTCACAGCATTCATACGAGGATGAAAAACGATGTAGTTCTAGCGCCCGGACAGTAATGGGCAGAGGAACTTTACAACACAGCACTGAGCTGTCCCACTCTGCAGGCTGGATCTTAACTCTTACGTTTTCACCCCTCTGGAACACAATCTCCGTATGAACGGGGGGTTGCAACCGACATCCAACCATAGCGTTTTACTGCTTCATTGTCTCCGTATAAACTGGGCCTGGACCCAGAAGAGTGATACTTTCACACAGTAAACAAATTAAATGTGAAACCAGACCTTTTGATTCCAAGAAAAAACAGACAGAAACCATCATGTCCTTTACACATTTTTCAAGGATCATTAAACATTTTTTTAAAAGAAAGATTCCTTTTTAAATCAAATGATTTCCTGATGTTGTGTTAAAGTTAATCTTGTGGGATTTCATATTTTCAGTAGAATGGTCAAATCAGAGGCTCATTTGGTCGTTGAAAATGTTGCCAAAAATGTATTTGTCAATTTTTCCTTTTGATTTTATCCACAGTATCTCTTCAATACGTCTGTGTTTGAAATCTTTTTTTTTCAAATCTATGATAGTCATTTAGTTTTTGAGTTGTAACCTTTTAAAGTCCAGACACTTTGACAGTTTACTGTGAACACACTCAGAACAGTGCGGTGGGACAGGAGAAGGCTCTCTGCTCTCGTGCGAGTCAGGTCTGTGGCGACGGTCAGGAGCACATCAAACAGCCGCTATGAGGCGTGACTGACCTTCTTGAGGCAGGTGAGCAGCTTGAGGCTGACGAAGCCCTCTCTGTTCTTCTGGATGTGTTTGAGGAGAAATCCATTTTCAGCCAAATGTGAGACGGTGAACATGTCCTCGAGCCGAGTCTGGATGTGCATCACCAGCTCCTCTCCCCTACAGCCCTGACTGAGACACAAACAACATCTGATATTATTATTATTATTATTATTATAGTTTAGGAAGGTTCATGCAAAATGTGATAAAAGAGATGAAAGTGGAGAGTTCAAAGGGCCCTCTCCACTTTTTATTTGCAGAGAAAAAAAGGACATACAAACTTAGATCAATGACACATACTGTATAGACATACAAGTAGACATACAAGTAGACATACAAGTAGACATACAAGTAGACATACAAGTAGACATACAAGTAGAGATACAAGTAGAGATACAGTCAGACATACAGCTCCACTTTTTGAAAAAAACTCTCTGGTCTTATTTGACGAGCATGTATCCCCAGAATGATTGACAAATGATTGACAGACCAATAGTCTGGATGATCCCCCGGAAGTCCTCCTATAAACCTTTAAGCTAAAGATCGATTTTTCTCTTTTTCATTCAAATATAGTGTTGTGCCAATCAATAATTAATAATCATTTATCTGTGTGTGTGCTCCTCATTCCCACTGTTCAGTCACTTGTGTTGCAACACTGACATTTCCCCACTGTGGTCAAAAATGGCTCAAATTTGGAAAAATGCATCTTATTTTGAGTACATTTTGACTGCTTTAAAACAACATAAAACCATTTAGTTTTATTTCATTGTTATTGGTTGCTTCACTTTTTTATTCCAAGGAAGACATTTCTTATCGTATCTTTTTAAAACAAGATCATTTTGCGTGTCCCATTGGAAAATCTTGTTTTGAAGCAGTCAAAATGTGCTCAAGTGTACTTTTATTTGTCACTTAAAAGTATTTCATTCTTCTATACCAGAGGAAGATACAATGTCAGATTCAGATTCAGATTAGTTAGATCAGGGGTCTCCAACCTTTTTCAATCAGAGAGCTACTATTATGCACCAAAAGAGACAGGGAGCTACTACTTTTTGCAGTAGTAATAAAAATCAATGTAAAAATTACGACCAAACACAGCGAACACATAGATAAAACATAATACTGCGAAAAAACTATATTTATACTTATAATAAATATGTATTGATTCAAAATGTGTTCATTCAAGATCTAAATTCTAAATCCTTTTGGGAGCTACCTAAAAGGGGCTGGTGAGCTACTGGTAGCTCTCGAGCAACAGGTTGGAGACCCCTGGATTAGATAACATTAAATTAGATTCAACTTTATTGTCATTACAAAGTCAGAACAATGCAGCCAAATGCAGTTCAGCATCTGACCAGTAGTGCAACAACACAGACACATATATTTGCTGATATTATTTACCATTTGCAGTAAAACAACATTGGAATACATTTGCAAAAGTCCCCAGTGTACATCAGACAAAGTACATACATAAAACAAGTCAAAAGTCAATAGGACAGGTATAAAACAAACTAAGAAAATGTACAGAAGACAATTGACACTGTGAAATGGAACCACGAAAACATACTGTATCAAGGTAAAAACATGGCTAACTTAGTCTTTTTTGGACTAGGAGAACCAAATACTTTTAGCGTATGATACAAATACACGTCCACAGATGCTTACCCAAATCTGTAGCTCATCACGAAAGACAGAAGAACAACCAAAAAGCAAATGTTTGCGACGGTTTTGATTAAAGATCGAATGAAAACACAGTATGAGCCTGGGCCATGGAGACGTGGTTCATAAGATGCTCAAAGTCGAATCTTTTGAAGGGAACCGTTCATCACCATGGCAACATTACTCATGATTATAAGATGTGTCAATTTTAGTTCTTGCAATATTTTTATTTTATTGTTTTGCTTGATTTCCCTCAGAGTCTCAGAATAATGAGAAATGAGGACACATTACATCTTCTGAATGTCTGTATAATGAGGCAGTGACTCACAACGCCATTATTCTTGCACACGTGTTAATGTGTGTGTGTGTGTGTATTTATTGTATACATATATGCATATTTCATCATTATTTATATTTTTTATTCCTATAATGTTTGTATTGTTTCCCAATGTTCTTTCTGTGCCTGGGTTGCTTCTGTATGAATAGTGTTATATAAAAAGAATTGGCCTTGCAGATTTATCCACAGATTAATACAGACAAGTCAATATTTCTCATTGGTTCCAAATCAACGACTGTATCTAAATCCCCACCCCTCAGTATTTGCATTGATGTCTTCATACGTAAAAAGTGTAGGTGTTATACTGCACTCCACCTACGCCCATCTCTCACCCAACACTCCACTCAGGTCCTGGTTCATGCATTTGTCACTTCACTTAACGCCCTTCTGGTTCTCACCCAACTCCACTGGCTCCCCATAACCCACAGAACTCCTCCTTCTCACATTCAAAGCTTTCAATAACCCCGTCCAGCTCACTCCGCTCCTCGTCTGCTGCTCTCCTCACTGTCCCCAAAATCAAAATGGCCACGATGGGGGCCAGAGCATTCAGCCTGTCTGCCCCTAAACTCTGGAACACTTTTACTGCTTGACCTGCGGCAGTTATATTCTTTGGACACTTTCAAATCACAATCTCAAAACCTACCTATTTAAACTGGCTTTTTATTTGTATTTTTATAATGTTTTATATTCTGTACTTTTAACAACCTGTGTGATTTTTTTTATATATTGTTAGGCGTACTTTGGTCTTGAAAGGCACTATGAAATAATATGAATTATTATTATTATTTTTACTATTATTTATTGCACTAAACTAGAGGAAACAATATGTTATTATTTGCTTCTTTATTAAAGGTATATAAGGAGGATTTTCCAATAATTTTAGGAAAGAACTTGTCACGTGCGGTGAGATGAAGGACCCAAAATGCAGGAATGCAAAAAATAATGATTTAATTACGAAGATAAAACAAAAGTCCAAGGTGTAAAACAAACTCAAAACTCAAACTGAACACAGGAACTGCAAACTGGGAACACCGTCAATGACAAATACAACTGACCAGCAACAAGGGGAGAGGAGCACAGGGCACATATAGACAGAGAGAGGGAAGGAAAACCAAAACCAAACCAAATGAGAACAGAAATCAAAATAAAACAAAAGTTCAAAATATCCACACCATGACAGAACCGCCCTCTCCACTTGTTGAACAAACCGGTCTGGTCTTATTTGACGAGCACGTGTGACCAGAGTGATTGACAACTGAAGGGACCAATAGTCTCGATGATCCACCTGGGAGTAGAAAATCCTCCTATAAACCTTTAAGATGCCTTTCAAAAAAAAAAAATGCAAATATAGTGTTGTGCTATAGTTATTTAATAATCATTTATCTTGTGGTGTGTTGTGTTATGTTGTGTGTTGTGTGTGTGCATCATTCCTACTGTTCTGTGACTTGTGATGCAACGCTGACATTTCCCCGCTAATGAAGGATCGCTTAATCTTAATACACCAAAGCCACACATTCCTCACTTAGACTTTAATTTCACAGATATTTTTTCTTGTGCACTATTGTTAGTTTGTTAGTTAGACATTTTTATAATTTATGTATTTACAGTATGTGCTTGTATGGATGTGTTTCTGCTGCTGGACACCTGAATTTCTCCTTTGACCATCTATCTATCTATCTATCTACTGTATCTATCTCTCATTCAATCATTCAACCATGGTAAGGGTCAGGATTAGGATTATGGTTTGGATAATCAATGAATGAATGACTGTGATGCTTTTACCTGCATTCTTATGTCGATGATCTTTTTGGTTTACATTTGTATCAAGATTGGGTGTTGCGTCACCGGTTACACAACAGTATGAATGAGCAACACACAGCACAAGATGAATGAACAATAACTCTATACTAAATAAAACAATCTATAATTCTAGCATGAAGAAGAAAGAGGTGTAACATCTCTACCTTTGTCATTATAAGACGCAAGTGCAAAGTACTGTGTGTTCTGGAGCAAGTAGTTAGTATGCATTCAGTGTATGGAGTGGGCTATACAAATAAATCTGTCATATTGGCTGTATATTACAGTTTTTCTCAGTCGCTTTTGCACAAATGTTAGTGCATTTCTCAGAACAATTAGTGCAAACTGCAAAACCTCATGGATAACCTGCAAAAGAGCGTCACTTTCCCAAAATAAAAAGTGAATTCCTCAAAAGCAAGTCTCCATGTCAATGAAACTGTCTGTCGTCAAAATAATAAATCCTAACAACAAAAATAAAGGAATGTATGAAATTAGCTTGACAGATTTTGGTTTTGAACTAGTCCAACAATTTTGTATGTGATGACCAAAGCAATGAAATGAGGACGATTAGTTTTAAAGAGAAAGACTCTTCAGAAGGGATAAGTATGTTTCATTTTGACTGACAGGACAGAAGCAAATGATAATGTTAAAAAATAGCAGAGAATTGTATGAAAGTAACTGATACATGTCCAAAAGCATTTGTAATGTGTTCATAGGAGAAACTGCTGCGATGATGAACTAATAGTTTTGAGAACTTTAAGTCTGATGTGAGAAATGCACTCAGTCTATCAATCTGCAATAACAAGCCTTAGTTACTTATCGACCAGTTTCTATTCAGTCCAATACAATACAATACAAAACAATTATTCTTGTATAGCCCTAAATCACAAAAGAAGTCATCTCAGAGGACTTAACAAAACCATTGAAATCACCAACACAGATCAGAGAATCAACAGTTAAAACACATAAAGAATATAGAACACATGTTGATAAATGTCCATACATGTTGTAGAATGTTAAAGTGTCCTGGATCATCACCACAGTCCTTCTAGTTGGACACTAACTGTCCAACAGACCCTCCTACTGTACATCGGCAAGGAAAAACTCATAAAACCCAGTCCAAGGCTACATGTATGTCTTTTTATTCAGAAAGATAAATTAAAGTATGAATTTGATCAAATGTGTTTATAAAGTACATCATTAGAAGCAAAAGACAAGTTATAAACACATTTGTAAAAAAGGCAGAATTTTCTGCACTGCTGCTTGCACACTATTTAACTGATCCAAATTCAGCAGCTGAGTTTGGATGTTAAATGTGTTGAGATGATGTGGAGCAATTTTGAGACAAATCTGTGAAACGATCAAGGCTGGTTTGTTTAAAGTGGAGGTGAACATTTGAGAGATTGTATTATTGTCCTATTGAAACAGAATGGGGAGTGTTTGTCATCGCCACAGCAACACGGCGTAAAAATAAGTCTTACACCTCAGTGACTTTTGGATTTGAAAATCATCAAGGAATTTTGTGCAAAATTTCAATCATTTTGACAACACTGGTTTTATGTATGCCCCTTAAAATTTTGTCTCTCTCTGTAGCGGGCTCTAGTGCTGTGTTTTCATGTTTTTCACATTCAGCTGACCTACACCCCAGACTTTAACAACTGATTCAAATTTGGTGTTAATCGGACTTTGTATGTGCTTGAACACCGTTTAACCAATCACAATTCTGTGGCTAACTTTAGATGCTACATGTGTTTAGCTGACATCAAAATGATTTGAAGTATTTGTTCATAAACTTACAATATTATTTCTGTCTGGACTAACAACATGCTGACAACTGGACTAACAACGAAGCCAAAAGTTTGGTATCCGGGCTTTAATCTTGACAAATGAGGTTAGGATTTGGCGCTTGGACCTTGATGGGCACTGCATGATGATTGCAGATTAAGATGAAATCCCCCAGAGCCTAGACCCTGATGGTGGGAGCTAGGAGAAACGTGAAAGGAGGAAGAGGAGGGTTGTGGCATTAATGACGTGCTTGTTCATCCCATTAATCCAGTTCTGGGTTGTGGGCAATCAGAGCTATCACCCAATTCACACAGCACCATTCAGGGTCGTATTGTGTTGTCGTAGTAGAAGGTGCACTTTATTTATCCCCCTAGGGCAATTGGTCCTCTGCATTTGATCCAGATGCCACCAGGCACTAGGGTCAGGAGCAGTGGTCGCAGCTCAAATGTCTTCATAACTACATAGCCCTTGGTCAAGACCGGAGCCCTTGGTCAGGACCTATTGAACAGGTTTTTAGTTTTTAGTGGTTGGGAAAAGTACACAGGCACAGAGAGAGCCGCTAGGGGCGCGTCATGGAATAGACGTGTGAAACTCGAGGTCCCTACATCCTTATAAAAGTACGTTTTAATTTGCACTATTTTTTGTGTGTGATACACTCGCTGGACTCTGGGCACTTTTCCAACGTGCCTTTGAATATTTGAGACGGAAAGATGCCTCCAAAGAATGCCAAATCGACAGCTAGTACTACAGGTGTTAGCAAAACTGATGATCAAGCTAATTCCTCCGCTCACGCTGCTGCCCCGCGGGCTATCGTTGCTAGCAAGATGATGATTGATACAGACACACTGGAAACCTTTCGTGACATCGTTAAAGAAGTTATTAAAGCAGAAAATGACGCCCTACGAGAAGAAATCAACAGGGCTGTGTCGCCAATCCACCAGATGCTTGAGGATTGCCATGACAAACTACGCAACCACGAGCACGAACTGACCGCGCTGGACACACGAATGTTAGCTATGGAGGCTAATTGCAAGGAGATGAGCAACAGGTACGAGAAACTACAGCTAAAAATTGATGACCTGGAGAATAGAGGAAGACGATGCA